AAAAAAAAAAACACATGTAGGCTGATAATTTGTTTTAGGTTTTAGAAAACATTTTTTGTCTATTTGTGTATGTCTTTTATTTGTTGGAAAAGTGGTAAAAAGAAGATTCTAGGAATTTTTACTGATTTTGGAGTGGCTAATTTTTTTCAAATGAGGGCCTTGCTACATTGTCAGTAATCAAATTTTTTAATTTAAATCTTACTTAATTGGAATCGTTATTCACCGCATCTTTTGTTTCTTTTTTGTTCTTCCCGTCAGAAAAAAAGTCGTTGTTCTTGGTCTTAAGCAGCTTTAACGTACGTCTGCAAACAATTTTATTTAGTCAGGAAAAAATTTGTCGATACCGTTTGTTTTTTCGTTGACGTTATTGTTGCTTTCGCTTCTCCTCTTTTGAAAGATATATTTATTTATTTGTTTATTTTTTTATTCTGTTTTTAATTATCTGTTTTGAGTGGATATTTATCCTTTCTTGTTACTTGGATGTGCATGGCATTTGGTCCACATGTTTTGAAGAGTTAAATATAAAAGGCTTTTAGGAAAGTTTTTAAAAGGAAAAAATGCGCATACGTGTAGTTAAGTATGTAAAAAAGAACCTGTTTCTTTTGTAATAAACTGGAAAATATTTCTGTTTGCTTTTTTTAGTATTGAAATTTTTCCAACAAATAATGAAGTAAATAATTTTTTCCTATTCTGCTTTTTGCACTTTTTCGGCTTTTTTTTAAAAAAAAAAAGGAAGGAGAAAACTAGAAAATTTTAACAAACTTATAGGCTGTTTTTTTGAAAATGAAGATATTAAGAAAAAGATGAAGAATAACTATAACTGGTATTAAATCTCAGTATATTGTTCAAGGTTGCTGGTGTCATCAACGTTTTGGTTGCTAAACGTTTAGAACTGTTCGTTTTCGTGGTACCGTTTACTTTATTTATCCGGATGGTTTTAGGGAGGGCCGTGAGCATGAGCCCTGATTATTGCTCAGTCTATTTTTGTCTAATATACCTCATAGCTTTTTTTTGTTACAGAATAATTTATAAATTTAGCTACTGGTAGAACGGTGTTGTCAAAATTTATAATTTTTTGTGGCATTTTTTCTTTCTTTTGTCTTTTCTTTGTTCCTCCAATGGGTTCAGTTACTTACCAACTCTGTTAAAGAATTCATGAATAAATCTAGCTTTTTTACGTCTTAAATTTCCAAGCTATTGTTAAACCTGTTTAGCAAAATGAGACAGAAGTCCTATAGCAAAACGCAGCAAGAATTGGACGAGCAAGTGGTTAGCGCATTTACTGGAGCCAAATATTTTGTTGGAAGGGAGCCAAAAAGATACTGTTTTAGTACAGTAACCTACAAAAAATTAATTCGGTGTTTTTTTGGAAAAGGAAGTATAGTTGTTTTGGTTATGACTATTGAAAAGCTGAAAATATAAAT